TTACATAGTTCGCTAGCTCTAGATATTAAAAATAGCAAATTGATTATTATTGATGAGGCCACAATGATGACTAAACACGCTTTGCGATGCATTGACCGATTACTTAAAGACATTATGAAAAATTCCCACCCATTTGGCGGAAAAGTAATTTTATTAGGTGGTGATTTTAGACAGACTTTACCAGTAGTGCCTAAAGGCTCCAAAGTCGATATTATAGAGTCCTGTATAAAAAGTTTATATTTATGGAGTCATTTTAAAATAATACATTTGATTGATAATATGCGTATTTCATCAGATCAAGTTGATTACAATGCTTGGTTACTTAAAATTGGAGATGGGCTATCACGCAGCAATTCTGATCTTCCTACAAATAGTGTTGAAATCCCACCTTATTTGCTTGAAAATGATTCATTAATAAAATGTGTGTATGGTAATTCTATAGAAATTGCTGATATAGATAGTCTTTCTACTAAAATAATATTGCACTTACCCTCAACAACGATATCATTAATATAATTTCACCTATCAAACATTATTATAGTGCAGATTCCATTGAAAGCGATAATAAGGATGATATAATAAATTTTCCACTAGAATTTTTGCATTCACAAACTCCATCCGGTATGCCACCTCACAAGCTAACACTTAAGGTTGGTACAATTGTTATGCTATTACGCAACTTGAGCCCAAAGAAAGGACTTTGTAATGGTACCCCTTTAATCATACGACATTTACATATTAATTTTATCGACGCTGAGGTATTGACAGGCACTAATAAGGGTTATCGAGTTTTTCTCCCACGAATAGATCTAGCTCCAAGTGACTCTCAGTTACCATTTACTTTAAAAAGACGACAGTTTCCTATAATTCCCGCTTTTGTGATTACAATAAATAAAAGTCAAGGACAAACTTTTGATCATGTAGGCTTATTCCTCCCTGAGCCCGTCTTTGCCCATGGACAACTATATGTGGCTCTTACTAGATGTAAATCTCAAAATAATATGAAAAATATGATTTTGCCATCAGAATTACAAGGAAAAATTTTAAAAAATGATAAAACATTCACACAAAATATCGTATATAATGAAATCTTAAATTCATAATTTGTAAGAAATTTAAAAAAGTCACCAACTTTGTTATTCACCATCAAATCACCAACTTTACATCATCTTCAAAAACTAAACCACCTTGAGCAAAGAAAAGAGAACTTCTTCACCATCGCTAAACCATCTTACTCACCAAAAACAGTATATTCTATTTTATAATTTCAATTTACACGTTTTATTTCAGGTTATTTACAGCAAACTACGAGCAAGAAAATCACAACATCATCTTCAAAAACGAAACTACATTGAGCAAAAAAAAGAGAACTTCTTCACCATCGCTTAACCATCTTCCTCACCAACAACAGTATATTCTATTTTATAATTTCAATTTACACGTTTTATTTCAGGTTATTTACGGCAAACTACGAACAAGGAAATCACAACATCATCTTCAAAAACGAAACCACCTTGAGCAAAGAAAAGAGAACTTCTTCACCATCGCTAAACCATCTTCCTCACCAACAACAGTATATTCTATTTTATAATTTCAATTTACACGTTTTATTTCAGGTTATTTACGGCAAACTACGAACAAGGAAATCACAACATCATCTTCAAAAACGAAACCACCTTGAGCAAAGAAAAGAGAACTTCTTCACCATCGCTAAACCATCTTCCTCACCAACAACAGTATATTCTATTTAATTTCAATTTACACGTTTTATTTCAGGTTATTTACGACAAACTACGAGCAAGGAAATCACAACATCATCTTCAAAAACGAAACCACGAAAAGAGATTGAAATCTCCTTTTTTAGGTAAAATTTTCTATATTATAAAATTTATTATATTATATTTTTTATATGGCTACAAATGCATATGTGTTGTAACCCGATAATCATCAACTCTTGAAGTATAAATATTTATTATATTTTCTTATAATTCATATCTTTGTCTCTTTTTTTCTATTTCTTCCTTCTTATTTTCATTCTTTTTTTCATTTCTTTGCTCCCCTAAAATCCATCTCCTACCTTCACGCGGTGGGGAGTGAACAGTAATTCTGACTAACAGGAGCTCTGGTAAATAATGTTAGTATTTAGGGTGCTAATAAGAGATATTGTTTCATTTTTGTAATTTAAAATATAAATTTCGAAATCACATCTCATAAAAAGGAAAATGTCTGATTCATCCATCATCAAATAAAGGTAAAATATATTATTCATCAATCATTGAATAAAAAAGACAATTCCTCTCTCTTAGTCTTAATTGGTTGGAATTGGCCTGAAGGAGGAGGGGGAGGGGTTAAAAGAATTATCGTAAAAGAACGAATAAAATTCTCATCCCCGTCATTTTTGACGGGTTATCAACTAGTAATTAATAATTGTGATCTAAATGTCTCCTCAAAATACCTTTCTCTGTCTTAATTTGGAACATCATATCACTTTCTTTATGTGTGATAATACCTTTGCACCATTTATCATCACCTTGTATTTTGTACCAAACAAAATCTCCTACGTTAAAGGTTCAATTTCGTGGTAAATTAACGTTTATTTTATTCTCCTTCTCCTCCAACAATTCTAATGTCTCGATTAAACATTCTCTGAGAAGGTGTAACACCTGTGGTATCATTACGCGTATTTCTGTAATTAAATAAAAATTTTCCAATTGCGATATCTAGGTCAATTTTTATATTCCTTTCCATATGTGTTTTGAACGTTCTAACCATGCGTTCTACCTGGCCATTGGATTGCTGGTGATATGCAGATGTGAGCACATGTTTAATACCAAAATTGTTGCAAAATTTTTCAAAATCGTTACTCGTAAAGTTAGTGCCAATATCAGTAACTATAGTTTCAGGTATTCCATATAGCGAAGTAGTTTTAAAGATTTCTTTTAAAGTAACATCAGTCGTAATATTTTTAACAGGAATAATAATTGGAAATTTGCTGTAGGCATCGACTATTATCAACCAATTTTTTATGAAAAACGAATCCGCATAATCTATGTGTATCCTCTCAAACGGTTTGGTTGCCAAAACCCATGGTTTTTGTATCTTTATAGGATTATCGTGATATATGTTACAATCATCACAACTTTTCACTTCCATTACTATGTCATTATTTATACCATAATTAGATTGATTATTATTGTTATAGCGATAGTTATTGTAGTTATAATTGTTATAATTATCGTGGTATCTCGCATTATTATTACCATAATTGTATCTAAAATTATTATTGTAATTCCCATTTCTATTTCTATTATCATAATTATTTCTAAAATTGTTTCTAAAATTATTATCAGGTCTAAAATAATTATTATTGTCATTTCTATTTTTATTGTAAAAATTTTTATCTTTATCGGACTTTTTATTATTATTTATATTACTTATATTATTATCATCTGACTTAATATTACTACAGTCCAGTTTCACCCCTAATTCAACCATCTGGTTTAATGTTAAGTCAATGTTTTTAGAGAATTTATATTTTATCTTATCATTTAAAGTAGAAGTACGTAGTTTTTCTTTTAATCTACTGTCGTCCAAAAAATTACATTTTTTATGAAGTTTCGATACTCTAATGTACCACAGCATAAAACTCTCTGATGAGTTTTGTTGAAGCAGATTAAACTTATTAATTAAAGTATTTAAATCTTGCGCTGGTAAAAGGTAAGTTAATTTTTTAATCACAATTTTAAGTTCTAGAATGTCGGTATCAGAACAAATTGATTTAATATTGTCAAAAACTTCGTCTGATAAATTATTAAGCAAAGTATTTATTTTAATAGAGTCCGATAATGTACTGGTCGAAAAATAATTTAATATTCTGTCTAAATAAATTTCGGTAAGTGGCCCTACTAACTTAGGAATCTTATGTATAAACTCTTGTTTTATTTCCATGTTTTATTAATAAGACATATATGTAAGCAATTATAACATTTATTATTTTAGCAATTTATATTTTGGTAAATATACAAGTTAATTCGATAAAATCATTATCACTATATATAATGCTTCCCATTCAACAATTCGAAGCAACAAATCATATCTCTTAAATTGATAAACTCAAACAAAACATCTTCCGTTCCATTTATTCTAGAATAGTTCACGTCACTGTTATAGGTTAAGTCAAATAAAATATCGTAAATTGAAATTATATGGGGAATATTAATCAATTTGAATGAAAACATACTTAGGAATCTTATGTGTAAATTCGTTTATTTTCTCCATTATATAGAAAATTTTTTTTTTTTTAAAGAAAATTTTTAATTTCCATAAGGCGAGTTTTTTATGCCTAAACTGGAGCACCATGAAGAGAATCATGATAAACGTGCAAGTAAGTAAAAATATATTTTATTATTATTAACTTTATTATCTCTACTTTTTCCCTTTTACACTTCATTTATATATATATTTTACAAATCAAAATTAGAATACAATATTAAAAAAACAAAAAGTAAAATATTACAAAATATAAAAAGTAAGGTTACGCAATATAAAAAATAAAGTTATAAAATTAGATTATAAAAAATAATAAGGTTAATTAGAATATAATAACGCAACAAATATTTTTATTTTACATTAAAAATTTAACATATAATTAGAAATTTTTTTTATATATATATTTAAAAAAATATCCAAAGCCTGACCAGACCCGGCCTGAATTTTTTTTAAAAATATTAGGCTCGATCCAGCCCGAACCAGATTTTTTTTTTTAAAATAGGCCAGGCTCGGCCCAAAGCCTGCCCAAATCTACTTTCACAGATCTTTAGTACCGACACCATAGGATAGAAATTATTAGCTCATTAAATACAATCAAATGATTGATAGAATTTAATTATTTATAGATATGCCTCGTCTAATACTAACCTAATCTAATATTATTACAACCTTCTATACCAGTCTTTTAACAAAAATATGGTTTTCTAATAAATCACGTCATATGACAGATAATCTAATGTCAATATCAGATATATCTTGTTTATTTATGCTTAGTTGTAATTTAATTAACCTTCATATGACATATTCGGGAAATGAATGATATTATTTTAAAATCAAAAATAGCACAAACTGCAACGGTAAAATTATATAAAAGAGTTTTTGAAAATCTATTTTACTAGGTCATATTTTTGCATGGGTTAGGCGATACAGGGTAAATATATATTTTATTCAATATACTATTTATATACTTAAATTTAAGGTATGGATGGTCAAGTCAGTTTCAAGAAATGATTTCTCCTCATATTAAATACTTGTTTCCAAATGCGTAATTTTATCTTTAAAAAACTAAATTATGATTATAATTTTAGCCCCATAATTTCAGTGACCTTAAATGCAGGATCTAAGATGCCATCTTGGTAAATTTTTGTAATACGTTTACTATAATACAACATTTATTAGGTTTGATTTATATGGTTTGTCCATGATAGAAAAAGAAGATGAAATTGGCATTAAAGAAGCAGCCTATTCTAGTACTATTTATCTTAAAATCTGCTTAATTTTATTTAGTTCATGATATGATAGACAAAGAAATCGAAAATGGTATACCTTCAAAAAGAATAATTTTAGGAGGATTTTCACAAGGCGGAGCATTGGCCTTATATTCAGGATTTACTTATAAGAAACCATTAGCAGGAATAATAGCATTAAGTGCTTGGCTTCCACTTCACAAATCATTTCCACAGGTAAACTAATTATTTAACACTACATATTGTGATATTAAGTTATCATAAGAATAAAATTCAAATTTCACAAAGCATTTTAATATTTTTCATACTTTGTCAAGATATTATGTTTTATTTTAATATTTATTTCATTTTTTTAAAGTCCTATTTTCAACCCTGTGTTTAAAACATTAAAAAACTTTATTCAAAAACTTAAATTCTATAGAAAATTCAGCAACTAGAAAAATTAGTATAACTTTTTCCTGGAAATAAACATAAATCTAAAATTTTGTATTAATTATCTCCGATATTTTTTAATATATATTTAAATTTTTAGATCTTATAACTTTAATATAGCTAATCAAAATTTGGGGTGAAATAGACCTCAACTTTGTAGTTAAGGCAGCTTTTTCAACATTTGTAGTGAAGGGTTATGGCTAGATGGTAAATAAAAATAAATATTGGATAGGGTTAGTAATAATATCAAGATATCAGTGAAAAAAATTAAAATTGGCACAGCCCTACATATAAAAATTTTTTTTTATTTTTGGGACCTTCCTTTATTATAATATTATCGGTTAATGATGCTTACTACCAAGTGAATGTATGGAAATATTTTAAATACCAACCAAAATTTATTGAAATGTAATAAGACCCTTATTATTTAATATATTAATACGGAATCACGTGGTCGAGTCCTGCCTCCTATATATTATCCCCCCAAGGATGGAACCACCAAGTTAGATTAAGAAAAAAAACATGACCATTCCCGGGATTTGAACTGGGAACTATGGGATCAGTAAGCCAAGCTCTTGCCTACTAGGCCATAGAGGCTTTCCAAAAACCACGATTTTTCAAATATATATTATAAATATATTTGGTAGTGCCTATCCAAATGAAAAATGAACAAAATTCAAATTTGATAAGTAGTACCTTAAGGTAGTAAGCATCATTAACCAATATTATCACCAAAAAATTTTTAAAACACAAATTTTATTATATTTAAATTTATTAAAAATTATTTTAAAACCAAATATTTTAAATCACAATTATTAGCCATAAAAAGTAAAAATAAATAAAATATATTTGAAAAAAATCCAGGCTGGGCCTAAAAATTTAAAACCCGGGCTCTAAAAATTTGAAAAAAAAATCCAGACTGGACTATACAAATAACACTTCTGCAGTCTCTGAGCAGGGGTGGACTGGCGATGCTATGGCCTCATTTTTATGGGGGCTTTGCCCCCATACCCAGAATTTTGTTTTGCCCGGCCTTCGGTCGGGTTCCCTTAAATGACTTCTATGAATTATATGATTTTTATAACTTCTTATTTTTGAAAATAGGTACAAACGATGTACATTTTTTTTAAAAAAAAATAATAATGACACGATACTATACTCATATATATTTTATTTCATGAAATTGCACATCTAAAATCATATTTATTGCACATATATTTTATATTAGATATACAACGATAATGCACTATAAAATTAAATCATACATCACATGTTAATTATAAAATAATACATAATACTCAATATATAAAATCAATTAATTTCACATAAAAAATTATTGCAATTATACAATATTGCACAGAAAATAAAATTGCTACCGCCGATCATATTAAATAGATATAAATAAGATTTAAATAAAAGAATTAATATAAATTTTTAAGTTAATAAATCTCTCATTAACTTTGAACCTTTGCGCAAATAAACAAGAATATCTTTTAGTTCAATCTGCGCTAAAAGTTCCCGTTCAACTGACATCATTAAAAATGCTTCTAATTTTTCTTGTCCTATATTTGGTCTCAGCCTATTTTTTATAATTTTTAATTTACTAAATGTTCTCTCACAATTGACTTGCGTAAATGATAAAGTTAAAATGTAATCATATGCTAAAAATAAATTAGTGTAAGCACTTGTATGCATATTGTATCTTTTAATAATTTCATACACACATATTAAACACTTGTTACATCTATTATCACATTTTGAGTTATTATCATTTTGTAATATTTCATCTTCTTCATATGAATCCTCACTTGTACATACGATATCATTGTCCGTTTCATTTAATTCTTCCACTAAATCTTTGAATACACTGGCAAATGAACACAATTCGTTACGTAATTTAACACTCGATATATTTGCCAATTGTGCCAGTTTTTCTAAGGCCTTTTCAGAAATACCTTTACTATTTATACCCTCAAAATGCCTTGGATGCAAATATTGCACATTCAAAATAAGCTCTTTATTCGCAGAAAACCGTTCCGACAAGCTGTTTATAATTTGATCAATTATAGGACAAAATACTTCGACCCTATAAAGGTCAATCGATTCTTGAGGACGTTCATCTTGGCCTTCGTCACTATATATTCTCTTTACTCATCCTATTCGATTTTTTGGCAGAGCAGTTTGTACCCAGATACTCTCTGGGAGCTTTAAATATGAAAGTGTTCCATTTAAATTAGAAGCCATTTTTGTTGCTTTATTTTGAATTGAAGTAATAGTTATAGATGACACAGAAGACTTGGCATCTTCTATTATTTTCCACGCTGATAAAATATCTAAATTCTTAGTTTGAAGATATAATGACAATGGCCCCATTATTTCAAAAATTTCTAAATATATTATATCAGTACTTAGAGTTTTAATTTACATAAATTATCAATCAAAGACTGTGCTTCTGATGAGGGTTTTGCCTCAAATGATTTATTATCAATTATAAATTGTAAGGCACTTATCGTTATTGGAAGTAGGCTCTCTTTGCCATATATCCATCTAAGGGCTTTTTCATGTGGTCACCATCTTTTCTCTCCTATTTTTTGCAGTCTTCTCAACTTATTTTGGCCAGATGAGCTATTCTGTTTCACCCAAGCATCCATCCTTTTATATGATTCACCAAAGAAAGTTGCTAGTCTGTTCAACAATCCAAATAAATTTTTGCCTTCAACATCGTGGCATGAATCACATATACATAGATTTAATATGTGACTATAACACCAAATATACAAACTACTTGGAGCCTCTTGTCTAATTCAAATGATTCTCCAATTATATTTCTCATTTGAATTCCATGTTTTAAAAGCATTCACTCAAGATATCAAAAAATCCTTTTCCAGAAGAGTTTGTAACTTTTGTAAGTGCAAAAAGCCTTTCTGTTATTTTGCCATTATTTATGTATCGTAGGCAAATAGTTGCTTGATCATAAACAATAATGTCTTGAGTACTATCCATTTGCAAACTAAAACGTTTGTTACCAATCTCCTTTTTTATTAAATTCCTGATCTGATCAAGAACAACATCTATAATTTTGTTAACAGTTGTTTTCGACAACAAGGTTATGAGAGAACCTCTTCCCTTTGATTTTGATTTTTCAGAGAGTTTAAGCTTTTCTTTTCTACGTTTGCTCTTTAAAATAGCCTTCTCTAAATGATATCTTAATATTTGATCATTTTTTGATATAATACGAAACATTTCCAGGAAATTCCCATGATTCAAATTTTCATTTTCAAAGTGGCTAAGTGTTTCAGTAACATTTGATCCTCTATAGGATAAGTTTTGTTTTCCTAAAAACTTTATTATTTCAAATATTTGTTTTATTATGTGGACATTGCTATAAATTTGTCGATTTTTTTCATTTATTTTAATACTAATTGAATTATCAAATGACTTATTTTTTGATGATTAGAGGTAGGCCTCGACAGCACTAATATGTACTTTTGTTTCATGTATTTTAATTAATGAATGCATATGACGAAAATTTGTTGAGCCTGTTGTAAAGTTCACATCTTGTAATATTTTTTTTAGCCTTAAGTTATAAATTAATAATAATAAATTTTTTATATTATCATGCATAGAAATGCCAAAAGGAAATTTAAGGGTGGAGCTGAAAAATTAAGAGAAAAATATGTTGCTTGTCTCAAAGCAGCTGGTGCTGATCCAAAACAACTTAAATTATCTTTCTTTGATAAATCAGTACCAAGTATTTATAATACTAGTACTTCATATTAAAAAATCTATTTATTTAGGAATATCAGCAACTACCTCCCATTCACATCTACCTGAAACAACTACATTATCTGCAACATCTTCTTTTATTATTGCATCAGTTCAATCATTGCCACACCCACCTATAACTATATTACCAACCATTACAGCAGATAAATCATTCACACACCCTGAAAATACATTATCTACAATTACAGCAATTCCATCTTTATTATCCTCACACTTGTCAGAAGCAACTACATCAATAATGCCTTTAGATATTTCACAAAGTGGATTATCAGAATTGGATATGCATAAACATGAAAATGTTAAGCTGCAATTAACAGCTACTATACCACAAAAACTTGCATTCTTAATGCAACATCCTATACAACCAATAAATAGTAAATATGATAAATTATATTATCGAATGGTAATGAATGAAAAAATACCTAGAAAATGGATTACAATAGAACTAATGTGCAATAAAGCCAAAGCTGTCTACTGCCCAATCTGCCTGGCATTTGCAGTATGTGAAAACACTTTTACAACAGGCTCAACAAATTTTCGTCATATGCATTCATTAATTAAAATACATGAAACAAAAGTACATATTAGTGCTGTCGAGGCCTACCTCTAATCATCAAAAAATAAGTCATTTGATAATTCAATTAGTATTAAAATATTAAATGAAAAAAATCGACAAATTTATAGCAATGTCCACATAATAAAACAAATATTTAAAATAATAAAGTTTTTAGGAAAACAAAACTTATCCTATAGAGGATCAAATGTTACTGAAACACTTAGCCACTTTGAAAATGAAAATTTGAATCATGGGAATTTCCTGGAAATGATTCGTATTATATCAAAAAATGATCAAATATTAAGAGATCATTTAGAGAAGGCTATTTTAAAGAGCAAACGTAGAAAAGAAAAGCTTAAACTCTCTGAAAAATCAAAATCAAAGGGAAGAGGTTCTCTCATAACCTTGTTGTCGAAAACAACTGTTAACAAAGTTATAGATG